CATCGATTCGATTTTGTGTGCGCCTGCCCTTTTTGACGAGCACGTCATAGATTTTGCCGGTCCAGCTTTCGTGGGATGTTTGCAGCGGGAGCTCGCGTCACATTTCCGAATGGGTCTCTTCAATTTCATGATGGCCCCATCAGGCCAACCCAAGTCCCCTGAACCCGAGAATCAAGTCTTCCCGACATGTGGCAGTTCTCTTCTCGGCGGCGAGCGAAGCGGGGATTGATCCATAAGAGCCCATTCGGAAAACCCCAGGGCGATCACGGGCGTGACCAGCCCCCCCCCCTCCCCAGGTCACGTCGCGGCGGTCGTCCGGTGGCGACCGCGGACTGGCATTCGCGAGGGAAAGCGGCGCTTGCGTGCGTGCCGTGTGGTGCTCGCAGGGACGCAGTGTTGTTCGGTTGCTGAGAGGCATTGGTGCGGCGGTCGGAGCGCGGCGCTCGTAGCTGCCAGCGCTGTGGTGTATACAAGCACTGAATGCGCACACAGGCTTTGTGTATTACGTGAACCTTGCGGAGTTCATAGTCGCTGTGGCGTGCGCAGGCACTGCGGGCCCAAATGCAGGGGGACGTGTCCACGGCAAGAAAAAACAATAATCACACAACGTGCATATAAGATTTGATCGGCTCGGGATTTGAGGACGAAGAAGGGGAAATAGGACTTTTCACTGCTTCGACGCCGTTCCCGCCCGCCAAAATCATAATGGCCGTCGTAGTTCTCGGGGGAAATGCCGATCAGTTTGCCGCCCATTTACCTGGTCTCCACAAATCGGCCCCTGGACCCATCCTTGAGTGCATTCAAACCTGAATTTCGGGGCGGCGCCAGTCGTTGCGCCAGCCTGCGGGGACAGTGGGGCGTCTTCCAAGGCGGCCAAGCTTCGCGAAGGTCACGCGGCCTCCCTCTCTTCCCCTCCCTCCCTCCCTCCTCCCCCTCCTGCTCTCCTCCTCCTCCTCCTCCTCCTACTACTACTACCACTACTGCTACTACTACGATGACGACTACTGATACTACCACTACTACGGACAGCAGTACTACTACTACTACTACTACTACTACTACTACTACTACTATTACTACCATTCGTATGCATACTAATACTACTACTTCTACTTTTACTTCTACTTCTTCTACTACTACTACTACTACTACTATAACTAGTACTACTGCTACTAATACTACTACTACACCTATTACTACTACTGGAACTACTACTACTACAACAACAACTACTACTACCACCACTACTACTACTACTACTGCTACTACTACTACAACTACTACTATAACAACAACTACTACTACTATGAATAGTACTACGGCTACTAGTAATATTGTTCGCATGGTACTTCTACTACTACTACTACTACTACTACTACTACTATTACTACTACTACTAGTACTACTACTCGTAGTAGTAGTCGTAGTAGTAGTAGTAGTAGTAGTAGTAGTAGTAGTAGTAGTAGTAGTAGTAGTAGTAGTAGTAGTAGTAGTAGTAGTAGTAGTAGTAGTAGTATCACTACTACCACCACTACTACTACTACTACCACTACTACTACCACTACTACTTCTACTTTTACCACTTTTACCACCACGGCTACTACTACGACTACTACTTCTACGACTACAACGACTATCCTTTGTACTACTACTACTACTACTACTACTACTACTACTACTACTACTACTACTACTACTACTACTACTACTACTACTACTACTACTACCTACTACTACTACTACTACTACTACTACTACTACTACTACTACTACTACTAACTACTACTACTACTTACTACTACTATACTACCACTACTTTACTACTACTTACTACCACTACTACTACTACTGCTACTACTACTACTACTACTACTATTACTACTACTACTACTACTACTATACTACTATTACTACTACTACTACCACTACTACGACTTACTACTACTACTATCACTATTACGATTGCTACTACTACTACTACTAACTACTACTACTCCTACTCCTACTCCTACTCCTACTACTACTGACCTACTACTACTACTACTACTACTACTACTACTACTACTACTACTACTACTACTACTACTACTACTACTACTACTACTACTACTACTACTACTACTACTACTACTACTACTACTACTACTACTACTACTACTACTACTACTACTACTACTACTACTACTACTACTACTACTACTACTACTACTACTACTACTACTACTACTACTACTACTACTACTACTACTACTACTACTACTACTACTACTACTACTACTACTACTACTACTACTACTACTACTACTACTACTACTACTACTACTACTACTACTACTACTACTACTACTACTACTACTACTACTACTACTACTACTACTACGACTACGACTACGACTACGACTACGACTACGACTACTGCTACCAATAGCGGTGCTGCTAGTGTTTGCGCACTGCCGCCGGATACCAGGCTCTGCGGTGCTGGCGCGCATTGTGTTAACAGGCGCTATGGATTTCACAAGCGTTTTTTTGTTTGTGTGTGTGTGTGTGTGTATTTTTCTAGGTTTTGTTTTTATATGTTGATGACATACTTTTCTCACATGCTATGCATACATATATGTATATAGGAATGCTTGTTCGGCTGTGTAGTGTGCGCAGGCGATGTGGTTTTCACAGGTGCTGTGGTGTTCGCAGGCGCTGCTTTCACAGTCGCTTTGGTATTCACAGGCGCTGTGTGGTGTTCATCGACGCTGTGCTCTTCAAAAGCATTGTGGTGTTCGCAGGCACGTCGTGATTGTCAGGTCGCAGGCGATTGTTTTTCGCAGGCGTATTGCGGTGCTCACGGGAACGTTGCGGCACCCCAAGCGCACCCCCGCCGTGACGTGACCGGCGCGGCGTTCCCCCCCCCCAGTCACGCCCGTGACCGGCTTGAAAACCCTAATGGGCTCTAACCATCGCCTGGGGGCTCGAATTTCGCGGACCACCGCGGGCGGAGGATATGGACACGTTCGGGCCCTTAGGGACCAAACTATATCCGTATCCACCGCCCGCTGGGGCACCAGGACGTCGGTTCCCAGGCGCTGGATCTGGATAATTCCCCGCCTCACACATGTGACAGCGAGGGGGGGGGGAGTGAGAAGGAAAAGGTCCTCTCAGAAGGTGGCGGGGCTTCTCAGAAGCCCTCTGGCCTTGGAGCAGTTTTCCTTGCCTCGCGGAAGTTCCAAGGAAACTTCTCAGAAGGCTGGGGGACTTCCGAACCACGCAAAAACAACGGGGTCATCTGCGCCGACAGTGGCGCATAAGCTGCCCGCGTAAGGTCGTGCGTAAGTGCCCTCGCTTCCAGCGTGGCGTGCCGCGCTGGCGGCCCGCGCGAGCCACCGCGCAAGGTGCCCGTGCCGTCTCGCGCAAGACCCGTTTTTGATCGTGCGCTCGCACGTGGCAGTCCCCCCCCCGTTAGCCCCGACGGACCCAGCGTGCAGTCAAGACGCTGAGTGTACTTCCGCCGATGTAAGCACGCATGGTATCTACCACGAGTGCGGAAACGTGCGCGCATACGGCACGACACCGTAGCTTCAGACCGCATCGACACCCGCCTCCGATAACAAACTTGCAATCTTTGCTCGTCGCTGCAGCGCGCCTGCGTCGGGGATGGCTGCCTCTTGCCTGGAGGGCTGAAGCGAGGACCACTTCGGGCTCCCACGGGGCACCAGGGTGTCGGGCCGTTCCGCAGACCTTGGTCGGGGTGCACCTTCGTGGTCGAGGTTGCCGTGGCCAGAATATCCTCTTCGTTCCCTGATATACATATATATGTACACACATGAAGCAAAACAACTCCTCGTTCCTTGTTTGCCGTTCCTCGTGCCAGCACGATGACTGTGGCCCCCGCTGCCCAGCGCAGTCGGCAGTCCTCACCTGGCTACCACTGGCCCCGACAGTAGCTCCAGCTAGGCCGCCCTGCACCGCCCAAGTGCTTGAGCTGCTGCTAAGTGCTGGCCCAGGCCATCTCCGTTTCACACGGATTAGGTCTACGCGTCAGGGTCACTACGTGCGCATGTCGTTTGGTCAACAGCCCACAGGCCCCAAACAGCGATTGCCAAAGTGTGCGCCATATTTTCAAAAAAAACTGGAATAAGCATATCTTCGGGTTCAGGAAGGGGCTTTGGCTTCCAGGCCGTTCCTCAGCTCTTGGTCGGGGTACCTGGTCGTGGCCGAGGTTCGCCGTGGCCAGGAGAGCCGCTGGGTTCCTCCTTGCCCTTTCGCTATGTCGGGGCGACGGCCGTGAGCTGTGGCACGCACCCGCTGGCGACCACAGCCTCCGTTGGCTTCGAGTGGGCGTGCCGCAGGCTGCGCCCATATGCTGCGCCAGCTGCCCCCCCCCCGCGGGCAACCAGGCCGCCCGTGGCCTCGGCGTGCGTGCCCCTCGCCGAACACTCCGCGGGCCACCCGATCGTCCGTTGCGTCAGTGGATGCACCTTCTGATGTTCAGCATTGTCGAGCTGGCCCCCCCTTTACCACTGGGCCATGGCGCCTCGGCCCCACCGACCCCCCCCCCCCGCCGGGTGGGGGGAGGTCCCGCGAAACCCGAGCGGAACAGGATCTATGTTCCGGGGTCGAGTCCTCCTCCTCGTCCTCCTCCCCTCCTCCTCCTCCTCCTCCTCCTCCTCCTCCTCCTCCTCCTCCTCCTCCTCCCCCTCCTCCCCGTCCTCCCCCTCCCCCTTCCCTCAGATGGGCTGGGCCCCAGGGCCCCACGGCGGCGATGATGGCCACGACGAGGATGACGACGCAGGCGGCGGCGGCGGCTGTGGAAGATGTGGGGGTACCCGCGGGAGGAAGCTCCTGCAGGGGTGGAGATCTCTCTCCTTCTCCCTCTCTCTCTCTCTCTGTCGCCGACTGCGCTGTGCGCGGCCCTCGAGGCACGCGCGTCGCTGGGGGGCGCCCCGATCTCACTGCCGGGCCCCGTCCACCCAGGGGGTGGGCATGTGCAGGCCGCCTGTCAGGTTCGT